CCCACTCTTTCTTTACCTTTATTAACCATCTCCAGGCCATCGAGCAGTTGCTCAGAAGACTGCAGGATAAGCTGGCAGGAGGAAACCGGCGCGATCCATTTATGGTCCTGCCACTAGAAATCGCAGAACTCACACTTCAGCGCTTGCCTTTCAAACAGATTGTGTAAGTGTACATCCTCACCTCTGAAATCCACTAGCTCATTACGGCATATAGGGCAATGCTACGTGTCTGCAAAGGATGGAACCGTTTTCTCAGCGGTCTAGCCAGCTTATGGATGCATCTTGACCTCACTGGAGCTAGACTTCGTGTACCTTGGACATCCGTCCGAAACTACATCCATCGATCGCGCGCGCAACTGACTAATGCCACGATCACAAATATCCCACCCTCTACTATAACTAAGGTGCTTGATATGCTAAGCAGATGCCCCCAACTAGAGCACTTGGAGTTGGCGGTTCTCCATGACCAGCCTAAACAGTTCTACTCGAAAATCTTGGATTTTCGACACCTCAAGAGTATCGTCTGTGGGGCAGACATCAGGCTTTCGCATGCAAGTGTTGGGGGCATTCTATTTACCCTCTCGAAACTTGAGAGAGCTGCATTTTTGCATGTTTGGGATCATTCTAACAGAGGACTCCAGACATGGCCTCAGCATCTTCCAAATATGAAGAGTCTGACTATTGCATCTTCACAAGAAAATAATCAATTTTTGAGCTTCCGTGATGTACTTCCGGGGTTGGGATTGGTAGGCATTCTCTGAATTTAGAATCTAGGACTTCCGCTAACACAAATCAGTCTGTGTATCCCAATCTAGAGGAGCTGCGTCTAGTCTGGGATCCCGCGCGATCACAATCATATCGGTTTGATCCGGTGAAAGAGGAAGAACATCTTCCCCCGCTCCGCATACTTGATCTTCGGGGCGCGGCCGTCCAACATAGCTTCTATTCAATCCTTCCAACCAGCCTTGAGACTCTACGGTTGTTTTCAGGCTCCATCGAGGCTTCTCATCATGGTGGGAATCTGTTGACACCGGGAGAGAATGAACTCCCGAATCTGAAGACCTTGGTATTCAATGATACCCCATGGGTCAACCGCTCCACACTTTCCCTATTCCTACTCCATTCGAAGGCTCCCCTCCGAACTCTTCACGTGAACCTTTGCCACAACATCAAAAGCGAAGACTTCCTTAATGTGCTCAACGATTCCAACGGAGCGAATCCAGAACTGAAAGAATTGACTGACGTCGGAGTTACCTGCATGGCGGGCATGGACGATACCAGTGTCAAAAGTCTGTGGACAACATTGCCAAACCTGAAAATCCTCGACTTGTCGCAGACGAGAATTACTGGCTGTACCATTCGCATGTTTGCGGATACCTGGAATGAAGGACCAGCCACCGCAAAGCTCGAAGGCTTAATTATAAAAGGATGTGACGATGTGTCTCGGGATGCAATTGACTATGGACGGCAAATGGGACTCAAGATTGTCACTTAGGGGCTTGGCAGCGCTCTGAGGATACTTATCTTAGGGCTTTTGGTAGACAATTGTCTAATGCACCACCCTTGTAAAATGATCAGAAATAACCAAAGATACCTGCGCTTGTATGGAAATGATGTATGATATGAATATGAACTTGCTCTCGGAACTTGGAGGGGGAGATAGTGTCGAGAGGCTAGGAGAATAGAGGGCAATTGCATGGGAAAATAAGAAGAGAGGAACAAGCTGGCAGTCCTGGAAAACACATCAGTGATAGCAGCATACGGTGGCATATGTATGTACGCATGCTAGGTCTTCAAACAAATTAAAGAGTGCATCAATTCAAACTAACTAAGACGGAGAGAAAGAAGTAGCAAGTGCAGAAGTGGTGCCTGCCTATATAACTGGCACTTCTGCAAACGTCGCAAACAACAAACGTTCTGAAAGAATAAAGGAAACAGCAAACGTGAGGCAAGCAAGTCAAAAAATAAGCATGTGATGCTATAGAGGATCGTAACACGCATAATGGCCGAGTAATAATACCAAGGTACCTGAAATCCAGAACTAAGAAAACCATCTAAACCCCACGTTCCTGACACCACCGCTCAACCTCTTTGGCCAACTTCTCCTTTTGATCACGCACAAGCTCCATCATGGGCTCAACCTGCTTCCTGTGCGAGGCAACAAGATCCTCACTACCATTGAGAGCAACTACACCATCCTTCGGCGCAAGATTCTCGTCATAGATTTTGACCATAAGCTCCATAACAGCTGAAAGCTGGTTCGGAAGCCACTAAAACCCCAAAGCAATCAGCACGATGATACTCACACATCAGAGAAATCGGACTTGACTCACGGTTACAATAGGACTACCACCAGTAGCGGTAGGATGCGGTGTGCGACGAATGATATACTCACGCGCGAACAACCAGTGTCGCCAGCGGAAACTGCGGATGTGATTCAGTGTGCGCAGGAAGAGGACTGCGGTCTCGGAGTCTTGAATGGCGTAGTTTTGGACGCCGATTTCTTCGGACTTTTCGCGGATGTAGGTTAGGAATTCGCGGTGTGGGAGGGGGCGATAGGCGCGGAATTCGTGGAGGATTTTGGTGAGGGGTGTTTCGGGCATGGGGATTTCGCAGAGATGATCTAGGAGGGGGATCTGGGGTTGGGTTAGTTGGGTTATTCTTTTTTCCCTCTCTTGGGTTTGGTTGGATTGCTTACGATGCTATCATTTGCACCGCTCTCACCGCGGAAGTAGAGGGGCTTGTTGTCTTCACATCCTTCGTAGATCACGCCATTCGGGAACATGGATTGGTTGGTGATGCCGAAGATGAAGACGCGGAAGGAGAGGTATTCTGATGGCTTGGAATTGCCCCACATGTCTATTTCGATGTCAATTTGGAAGATCTGGGGGATGTGTTTCGTATGGTTAGGGTTGCATACCTTCCATGGATGCTTCGATTTTCTCCATCGACTTTAGGATATCCCGGAATCCGTCGTTGATATCCTGTCGGGAGCCATGCTGCTCAAGATTATCCACAATCTTTAAGACACCGGCAATGAGTGGCCCAGTCTCCTTGACCATGTCGACATGAGTCAGGATGAAGCCTGCTTCGGAGCTCTTGGGATCGAGACCCCTCTCGAAAGACCGAATCAGACGAAGGTTCGAGTACTCGCTCAGACCCTTGGCAGGGTCGGCAAAGGTATAGTTGAATAGAGCATATGAAGCAGCATATGACATGAAAGGTGGCAGGTTCAGGCTATGGATAATTGTTAGTTCCAGTGTTGTATGACGAAGATGTATCAAAATAATCCACGAGATAGGGCAGTAAGAAAAGAAAGATAAGAAGAAAGAAGACTTACATCTCAGCACAGCGATACATAGGACGGGCAATAGACTGGGGCAATACATCGCGACCAAGTCCATAGCCACCTGCTGGGTCTTTGTTCCAGTGCTCCCAGCAAGGTTCGAGCAGGTAAGACGAAGCCAGGAAGGTATAGTCACGGAAGACCGCAGCAATAGTGAAGCGATCAGGCGAACCATCAGCGACAACGAGCTTCTCGACCTCGTCAGTCAAATCAGTAAGCTCAGCCTTGACAGCAGGGCCGAGCTCATAGGTAGCCAACAGGCCGGGCTTGCCATCGAGCCTGACGACAGGGAGGCGATTGACTAGAGACAGCAGGGCACTGAAGGCCTCTGGCAGCTCAACAGGGGCAGTCTCATAGGGCAAGAAGCCTGTCTTGGTGGTGATGGTGAAGGGGTCCAGGGAGTGGGAGATGGACGAAGGGTCATCATGGATGTGAGGGAACCGCCTCAGGGTAGTTGGGGAAGGGTAGGGCACTTGGGTTCGAGTCATGATGATATGAGATGAACCAGAGAAAGGAGAAGACTAGAAGTCTATGATATATGGGTGTAGTAACAAAGGGTGTATTGGGGTAGTATAGGGAAGGGTGTAGATATGTAAGCCAAAGGACAAAGGAGAAGGCCCAAAGACCAAGTCAAGAGCCTAGGTAGTGGGTGAAATGGGTAAAAAAAGTCGGGGAAGAAGCTAGAAGACCTTGAGAGATGAAAAGAGAATTGGAACTTTGAGATTTTGGGCGGGCGAGGAGCAGATTCTTATAATACTTTGAGGCCGGTAACAATTCCGGCCTCAAGCCCTCATTACGAAAGAGAATAGGAGATAGCGTGGACCTGGTGACATCAGGTGCAACATGATGAAAATTGGTTCTATCTATCCTAAATAACACTCGAGACAGTTCATATGAGTATTTTCAGCCAGAATAAGATATTTTCACATCCATCTCGACATCCAGATGAACTATACAATTGCCCAGTGAGAGAGGGCAGAGAACGGTCACGGGGTGGCGCTAGTCCCGATACAGCAGGGGCTCTAACGGCCGGTTTGACTGCTTTACCTGGGATTTAACGGAAATTTGTGGTGGGAAATGCCAAATAAGGTGTTTAAAAAGCCTATAGCAAAGAAATTGGCCATTCACTGATGAATTACTACAGATAAATGCCCAATGTTGTCTACTCAAGTCATGATATATGCTCTATAGTCCATGCACTGCCAAGCGGAGATCCCCATATCCCGCTCTCTGATTGGACGATAAGCCCAGATTTAACTTCCCTAGCGTTCGGAGGCCGGAATACTACCGGCCTCCGAGAGTAGCCGGCCTCGTTATATGTGCCGGGTTGATTTGATATAGGACAGGCTCATAAATTAGTATGATACCTTGTGGTGAATCCCGAGGTAAAGCGAAGATTGACTTATAAACAGCTCCATCTCTCTAAAAATTTTATTATCTTGTTATTTGAGGAAGAAGTCGCACTTAGTACATCTCTAAATATATTAGAAAGGAACAAAAGAACCTATCGTACATTTGCACCCCAAAAGTACTGAAAGTACTTGATCTATTCAGTGACTCTCAAGTATTATATATTTATTGTATACCACGCGATTAGATATAAATGATCTCCATTGTTGATAATCTCACGATCCGTCGTTCCCTTCTATAATCTTCATACAAATGCACGCTCAGTCCTATTCACCACCAAAGTCCGAGAATTGTGATAGAAAGTCCCATGCAACTGCGGCAAAAAGTACTGCAAGACCGCATCCCCTACACCAGCTGGCAGCGACCTCTTGTCACCCCAATAATGCCTCACCAACTCCCCGACACATCCAGTAGCTGCGACCCCTGGGCACCCATTTGCCTCTGCACAAGATAGGACTCGAATGTCCTCCGATCTGTTAAATTCATACCTGACGTGGTTCCCAAATGCAGATTGCTCATGTGGCCATTCCCGGCCCCATTTAGCGCAGTCTGGATAGCGCGTTTCAGTGGGACAAGCGTCCCACGCCTCAAAGAGTTCATGGGTGCGAGGGCTTTGCTGGGCAATAATAAATCCAGTGTTGAGAAATGTCCGGCCGTTCCAATCAAGGTTGTGAGGTGCTTCTGGATCGAGCGCCATGGCAACCAGAGTCTCCGGAGTGATCTCCCAGTAGTTGAATAGCCATTCCATGGGTAGATTGGGGTACGGCATCATGGCGTCTGCATCCATGAATACAACGTATTCGTAGTGTTCCAACGCTTCTTTGATGGCGGTGACTTTGATCCATGTTCCACTTCGCCCGACTGCCCTGGGGATCTGAACTAGTCGGTAGTCGTAGCCATGGATCATTGCTATGCTAGTCAATCACATCGTAGGAACAGATAGAAGTGTGACTACTTACCAAACATGTAATGGTTGAGTCTTCCACTGATATCCGGAGGAAGTCCAGTCGCGTTCAATGGAACCTTGCTCAAAAGACCTTGAGGGCCATCAAGATCCCGACTATCGGCGTCCAAAATGAGGATCTTCTTTCCTAATGGTTCGGTGAACCTCAATGGCTCCGCAACCCAGAAGGCTTTCCCTGTGCGGCCAATAAATATGGTTCTAGTAATGGGGTGTATGTAGGGATTGTATAGTTTGCGGACCGTGGAGGAGTATAAGTGGCTTTCGACGGTCCATAGGAAGTGCTTCCTATACTAGAGTCAGTCCTCAACTTCAACATTTTGCTTTGCGTGGGCTCGTACTGGGACGGCTGATCGATTAATACACTGTTCAAGTAGGAGTATACCAAAAGCAGCGCACACACGATCAGACTCGAAGTAAAAATAGCGGTTATTCGGCGAGGAAACATGAGTCCTGACCTTGGACGAGGCATGGGGATGGTACATTTCCGGAGTTTCCGATCTGTAGATTTGACATAGTATGGATGGAAGTCGATTGAAATGACATAATTTCGATGAAGTAGGACTTATCTCACCCAATTCATCCATTTGAGTCCTCACCTCTTGCCGCTTTTTGCTCGGAGGGACTAAGCACGCCTTTTTCTGATCTGGTCCTTATTTTCGTACTATGCCATTGAACAAAAAGTTCTCCGAATATATTTCCAGGGTTCCGACGCTGCTTTTTCTGAATTCTAATTTTTTTGACCAAATTTGCCGTCTCTTTAGTTCGCAGTTCCATTTAAACGGTAGAAATCGATGAAAGTACAGCGCAGCTCCTAATCCCTTAGTTGTCCAAGCGAAGGTCCCATTTGAATCAGACATAATGTCTCCATACCCCTTCGTGATACCGTATGGTCCGTATCGGAACCTTGGAAACCGGGCCGAAATTGCGGGGGTCAGTTAAAAAAGATTTAATATGTAAATATTTTTTAAAATTTTTTTCTCAGTTTCCTCATGTCCGCAGAATCATCCAAATGTTGCGTCGCATGTGGTTGGACGCTCGAGCAGCAAGAAAATTGCGCTTATTCGAGCCACCTTAAACTCTTTTATGGCGCCGGCAAGCGGGGAACATGGTCGATTGGGTCTGATGTTATTTTGAAAGAACGCCCCGATGAAGGTCCAAAAACCGAAGTGACCACCTTGAAGCACCTTGCAGCCTACCCCGATATCCCGGTTCCAAAGATATTGCGTGACTGGGTCGACGGCAACGGGCAGTACTTTGTACTTCTAGAGCGGATCGAAGGTCAAACGCTCGAACAGGCCTGGTCTTCGTTATCAGATACCCAGAAAATAGCCATCGCAGATGAATTTATTGGAATTCGAAAGCAGTTACGATTCCTCAAGTCAGTACCTATAGAAAATGTTGATTAAACTCCTTGTTTTCCGGGCCTACTGTTTTTTGACAGTGAGCCGCATGGACCTTTCCACTCTGACATCGAGCTTTGGGATGCCCCAAGTCTTACTCTATACGATCCACCTACAAGGTCGTTCCCTCAACGAGCCCTAGTAAATCTGAAGGAACGGCTGCCTAAATGTGAACCCTACGTCCTCACCCATTGTGATCTCAATTTGGGCAATATTATGGTGAAAGACGGAAGGCTGGCTGGGATACTCGATTGGGAATTTGCTGCATATTACCCAATTTGGTATGAGTACGTTTCAGCCTCTTGGGGGTGGACAGAGGAGGATGCCCAGTGGAAAAAGCTTTTACGAGAGCGTATGGCTGTACATGGCGATGGACATGAGGATGCGAAGGAATTCTGGACGGATTTGCATCATTTGAGAAAATACCCAGATTTGGACGAAAAAAGGCCAAGAAGTTTTAGAAAGGTTGTCTTCGGATTAACGACAATGTATAGGAAAACGAAGGTCCGGGGGGATTAAGCCGGCAAGAGAATTTACTAAAATCGATCTAGATTTCAAACCATCCTATCCAATGAGACGACCTTTCAAACAAGCTCATACAAGTATACCTCCCACATCCCATGAGAATCTTCAAAAAAAGTTATGTCATCCCGATCAAGCCATTAAGATCCTGGAGCAGCTGTTGTACCAGCTCCATATTATCTGATTTCTCACGCAATGCCTTCTTGAGTGCACCGGCTGCCTCCTTGGTATTTCCAGGCACTACCTCCTCAGACTGCAGTTTCTTCTCTGCAGACTTGATACTTTCCTTCGCACTTCGAATCTGAGACCAATACACTGAGGTCTTGTTGAGATATCCAGTCTCCTCAAGAGGCAAGTTCCACTTTTCAGGAGTCATTTCGACAATATCCAACCATTTGGCCATGTGCGGCCATCGGCGCTCCTCCAGACCCGGGAAGTGCACGAGCAGATCACCTCTTTTGCCTTCATAGGCCCAGTCCCATTCATAGGTATTGATCCACGGTCGTGGCAGATAGGAGACTCCATCTGCGTAACCCTGTCCACTTGGACCCCCCGTCGTTTTGTTGAGCACACGTCTCATGCTTTCTTGGTCAGCAGATCGACCAAGGTCAATCTGAGGGAGATAAAGAGGGTAGCCCAATGTTTCGGTAAGGAAACTGATCATCCAGGGATGGACGTGGAGGAACATAATCCCCGTGTTGAGGCCGTTTTGGTCCTGGCTTGCAACTAGGTGGATATCTTTCAGGTCGGACGGCGGGAGGAAGATTTCCACGGGGATGTCATTGTTCAGTATAATCGAGTCTGCGTCTACCCACCTGCGCGAATTAGCATTCTCAAGCATATACAAAGAAAGAAAGGACATACATCAACCACTCCATTCTCTCGCCGGCTGGCTTGGTCAATTCATTGACAACCAAGGATAGCAGATAGCTCGGTTTGTTCCAAAATCCGACCGAGATATCCTGCCGCAGGATATGCATGGGGTATCCCCATTGCTTCCCATGGCGTTCATGGCTTTGTAGCGCTCTTTCGTACATATGGTTCGTCTCTCCGTATAGCATGGACACTTTGGCGACCCTTTGCAACTTGTTACTGGGAGCATTTTCCGACTCGAGAATAGAAAAGGAATTGACTGAATTGGCTGTGACCCAAACAACACATATTACTGATAGAACTATCAGGACGATGTGCAAGGGTCGTTGTTTGAATGCCAGTTGGTGTGGAATCATAGCCGTCATCACCGCGTAGGTGCTAGGCTTGTTCCTCATTGTGGGTGTGGGTGGGAAGATGAAAAATAAATGCTTCCTTGAGGTTCAGCCGGGACTATTGCCAGATTCGGAATTGAATGCTTGATTGGAGGCTCGTGAGTTGTATGAATTCGTACTTCCGGATTGGGAATTCCGTTTTCGGTAACTCAGGTACACCCCGTCTATACCGACTAATAATGTCCAATTAATTTAGTTTATAAATAGATATCGATCCAATCATTTGAAGACAAAGCTCGCTTATTCTAGGACGCATGGAAATGCGCTGTGTTGCGTACGGATACTTACGGTCCACTGCCCACATGGTGCGTATGAAGCCCACAAAGGTGTGCCGGTGTATATTGATGATAAGAAGCGATGTCGCCGATCTCATGAGAACATTCCTGCGACTGACCGCAGCACCTGATAGATTACATAAGAACATTTAAGCGTCTAACTAGACTACATGGCACCGGAGTATTGTAGACCATAATCACAACAGAACGTTCGATTATTGTCGCTACAGCGGTGTATATATTACAGGCCTTAAGGTCCGTTCGAGATTATAAGAGAACCAAGATCGCTTGGAAACTACAGCATTAACTACAAGATATCGTCCAGACGACGCCCAAACTGGTAGAGAGACGATTTCATGTTATATGATACAGATGAGGGTATATTATACACCACATTTTCAAATATTTGTACAACAGCGCATATTCATACAACTTTAACTCCACGTTCCCATGCATCAGCGACCTGGCCGTCATTGGATTCATTGTATAGCCCGAGCGCATCCAGTCCGAATCGCAGACTAGATCCCGCAAACGAACGCAGCACAATATACACAGTCATATCTACACTATGACCCTGGACTCGTGTTCTGACTAGTTGTTTTTGAGTCGCCGGTGGTGCTGTGTACCGTCTGGAGCTTGAGATACTCCTGTTCGAGGGCCTTTTGCATTTCAAAGTCGGCCTGGCGTTCTAGTCGGACACGCTGCTTTTCCATATCACGTTCGACTCCTCTGTGCATAGCCTAGCATCCAACAACGTAAGTATATACCAGAAACAGGGAAGAGAAGCTGTAACATACCGCTCTATCCGCCTCTTGTGCCCAGTGGACAAACCAGACAATACCCATTGTGCCGAGGCCAGTGGCTGCCAATGTAAACTTTGATGCGCGAGACATTGCAGGATATGTGAGAGCACGGCTCGACGCAGAGATTCGGCTGGTAATGGTCACAAACAATGTTTTGGCCTGTCAGATGTTCATCAAAACGATTCCGGGATTATCAGATCACCGGGCGGCGTTTGGTGGCAGAACCCCCACCGCTCTGGGGGGCGATGCGTGGCTCCGATCGACCTAGGCTCGGAGCTACAGACTCGCCGTTTAATCGTCCCTGTCCTGCCTTATTTCCCTTCTACCCTATTTCCAAAGCCGAGAGGTTTCTAGCAAATATGGTGAGCAATCTGTCTCAGAATTGGTGGCCAGCTGCTAACGGTGAACAACAGTCGGCTCAGAACTCCGCGGGCATTCAGACCCTCCTCGATGTAGGTCTTCGTTGTATGTTGAGCGCATCGTGGAGATACTAACCATGGGACTGCTAGGCCGAGAGAGAGGCCCAGAAGATTGTGCAGAAAGGTAAGTGTCTTACCCCTCATCGCTGCCTATCACAAACACTAATACGTCACGTTACATTTAGCCAGAGAGTGTACGCAATACAAACTTACCTGTCGTCATTCGCACCATCGAACTAATTATTTCGCAACTCTACAGACCGTACCCAGCGTATAAGGGATGCCAAGTCAGAGGCCCAGAAGGAGATCGAAGAATACAAGAAGCAGAAGGAAGAGGAGTACAAGAAGTTCGAGACCGAGGTGAGATACAATTCCTAAATGGCGGTCATAACAAGAGGCATCCACAGTGCTAATTTGACTGGTCTCACTAGCACTCAAGCGGATACAAGGTAGCCGAGGCCGAGGCCGACAAGGAAGGCGAGGTCAAGCTCCAGGAGATCAAGGAAGCCGGCAAGAAGCACGGCGAGAAAGTGGTCGCAAATCTCATTCGTGTGACGACCGACGTCAAGCCCGAGGTGCCTGAGAATATCAAGGCATAATGTAGATACTCTCGGTTATCTTTTCTTTCGTCGCGTGAATGCGCTTGCGTGTCTGTTCATCGATATCCAATTGTCGGACAATATCAATTTCTTTTTGGCTTAACCCTGTGTATGATGTGGATGGATTCTGGATCGCTCGTTTTGGAATACGCATGTCGTATTCCTATCCCATGGTGTCCCTGAAATTTTGGCTTGACTCTAGGCTTTTCGGTTGACAGCACGTCTAGGTTTCACCACAACACAGAGAGCTATGCCTAGGCAAACAGCTCACCAGTATACTAAGCCATACAACACACCTTGATATTCGTATCTGTATTACGGGACGGCAACAAGAGGCGCAGGGTGACTCAATGCGCTGTCCAAACGTCTGGACAGGTATCAGCACTCATCCCTGTTGAATGGATCCTTGAGCGACGAGTTACTGCTGGTAACACATTCTGGCACTAGTGGCACTGTTGGTTTTAAGGAGTGTCTGTCCCAATATCAGAATAGTGTATAATTAGCGTTTGAGATTTGTCTCTTAGGCCTTGAAATGTTTGATTATATTCTGAATTATTCCGGCGCGAAAAGAGGCCTATCCTAATGAATCAAGCCCTGAATTTCTAGCTGATAACACATATCTTTCTCTTTACATAGGTACATATATAGGCTACGCTCTTGGTGGAAGAACACACTGGTGAATAGTGTTAAACAGTGGGAAATGGCGGGTGGGAAGCCGAAGTAGGAAGTAGGTGTCGACCAGAAATGAACCCATTAGACCCCCTAATATCACCTTGGTTTTTGTTATGCGGACACTTCGATCCGGCAGATCAGTAACTCAGTAACTCAGTAACTTCGCTTAACTTCAGGGTGAGTACGGTCTTGTACGGTCTTCGAATAGATCGATCCTTGCATCTCTAGTTGATTTCTATAAATCTGGCATCCATACGTAGCTAGTAAATAGTGATGATTTCAAATTTCAAATTTAATCAATACAATATCTCTTTGCAGTTAAAAGATCATTAAGAGTAAATTAAAAGTGTTCCGATCAAATATTGATCTATATTAATTGAACCATGGACGAGGCTGTTGATTTTGTAGAGAGAGTATCTAAGTACTGACCAATAATCATGAACTGATTTTTAGTTGATTGATCTCCGCTGTTTCACCACCATTTTACTATGATTAGCCCGATTTTTTTGACAGCCGAGCTTATTTAAACCTTACTAAGTTTTTTTTTAGGTCTCAATCTTAAAAGTATATGAAAGACCAGAGAAAACATCGGATTTATTTCATTTTCGGTTCTATGGATTTTTATTTTTGCTTTTCTTGGTTCGCATTCCTTCTTTTCCTAGAATCTTGGCAGCCTAAGTAGTTGTTTCCTAGAGTATAGTAGCGGCGAGGTACCGCCGACTAAGAGGGCAACGGTACTTATTTTTCTATATAAAAGCTATACCATATTACGCCATTTCTATCAACTACCTCAAGTAGAGAACTCGGTATTATTCTTTAGAAATATCTAATTATCAGTTTAGTAAGTAATATTTCTATAGATTATTATATATCTAAAGAGAACCTATGGCTATTCGGTCGGATTCTCTACTATTATACCTATTTAATAAAGCTAGGTCACTACGGAACCTTTACCTATATATTAAAAGTTTATTATATCAACTAGTAATAATAGTATATAGACTGTTACGTGCCAGGTTCTTTTAATGGAAGAAGTGCATTGCTAAACGAATATCAAGTATGGAGAAAGAAAAGAAAAGAAAACAAAACGTAAAATAACAAATGGGTCTTTATACCCCTTCGGGGGCAAAGCCCTATCCTCGCTTAACCTAGAAGGAAGGTACGATTACTTGCGTAAACGAGAAGGAACGACCAACGGTACAATCCTAAACGGGAAGGTACGAGTTCTACAAGTGCTAATCGTGATATAACCCCTGGGTAAGAATACATTTAGTCCCTAAATGCTAGCTTCTTATTATCTATATGGTTGTCTAATATCCGATTATCCCACGTGGCCTCGATCTATTCTTATAGATATATCGGCGGTCTAGGCTTCGCTAGATAGGGATTCGAGAGCAACCACCAGGGGAACAGATTAACTTTACCCCGGACTACAGCCAAATCCAACCGGAGAGAATTGCTCTTGCCAAACTTGAATTTCAAAATCGAGACGTCGATAAGATTAATGACGCCCCGTTAATACAAGACCGGATCAAGTCTCTGGACTCCTCTCCTATCTCTATCCCTCCTATTATCACTATGGGTAGGGTTAAGGAATTCGACCCCTATACACCGCACTCGCATATGCGAACTCAAGGCTATTCGCTGGTCCTACCGTCAGATCCATGAGCGCTTTTCGCATATCAGTCTATCCATGATTAAATACACAGTGCTTACAGAGCATAAGCGCGTCAACAATGCATCATAACCTCGAAATGCGAAGATCTACTCGCAGACGTCGATTGGAAGGTTAAGAACGGTTAATTTAAAGGCTTCTACATGCTGAAGGTATGCGGCAATAGCGAGCGTCAAAGACAGCTGTAAAGGCTGTCTAGTGGGGCAATGCCAGTTGATCAGGTAGAGAGTTTGGTAACAAAAGAGTAGCGTAATGGAAGCGAAACAATAATGTGTCAATTGGCATGTACTAATAACACAAAACTGAATCTTGGAGAGCTTCAGACAGGGGACTCAAAGAAGGGCTTAAATCAGTCCCGATCGCGGCCTGATCGGAGCCGACATCCACGTCGGACTCCGGGCCAAGACGGCCGGGATAAGGGTCCAAGACGGTTCTGAGGACTGAGGGATTCTGCCGGGGTCAAAGGACTCTCGTCATTCTGACCGTTCAATAAGGTGGCCTCCACACTTCGACGTTCTAATATACCAGCCAGACTACAATTCTGAAAAGTCGCAAGAATCTTTGAGTAATCTTACACTTAGGGCCTTAATCGCCTAGCGGCGATTTAAGGTTCATATATAGGTCAATGCCGTTATAGTTATCCAACCATCACTTGCGTAATAAGGCCATATCCCTAGGGCTGACCGTAAGAGGGCTCAGGTGATCAACAAGACGTCCGACGAGACTACATTAGTATATGAAGAGCGATATCATTTAAAATAGCAGTGATATTAGGCGATTTTTAGGATCTACTACGCAACACAGAACAAGCGCTTTTCGACACGCCTCTCCACTATATTGACATAGTATCCGAACAACATTGGCGTCGAGGCCATCCTATTGAGTTATTGCATTCCATTCCAAGTGACAGCCTGTGTCGGGATTTAATTTTTCCATTTCTACGCTCTGGCGGAACTTAGTGGGCCTTGGGAACGAATGAGCATGCTGAACCACGAATGCTTTTGCTCGCAGTGTGCAGCAATCCTATCCCACACCTGGAGGCTCTCTTCCCGACGCGCGCACCTTCCTCCAAGGTAACCGAATTACTACCTTACTACCCACCCTGTGATTTTGAAACCTTATCCCCTCCTACTTTTCTTGCTGTATCTTCACAGTTTCTCTCTCTCTCAATTTCCGCAGAACCTGTGACGAATCTTATGTGGTGATGTTTGATGCCTGTGTTGATGCCTGCTGCCGCAGGCATCCTTTATGTATTTAGATCGTCTCTCATTCTCTCACACACTCTCTCTGCTGTTGCGGCCAACCTGCAGAAGCAAACACGACTTTTCCGTATGTTAATTTGCCTTATTTGAATTACCGATACATTCCCTCCTGAACAACCCCCCGCCCCGCCCCTTCCCCCCTAAGACCAAATCCAAATTCCTTTTCAATATCCTCTCAACCACAAAGCCATTCTCAGAAAGCATCTCTCAGAGCCCCACCACAAGAACCGCCCTGTATGAAACCGCGCACAACCCACACCTTCCCGCCCGGCGCGAGGAACCACTGCATGGTGCGCGCGAGGTTCTTCTGCTGCGAGCGAAACTCTCCGCTACTATGATCTGGGTAAACGAGCCCTTGTATTGCTGTGTGAAGGAGTCGGTCAGTTCGCCCTTATGCGTGGGGGTGGGCGGAGATCTTGGTGCTTGGTGCTCGGTTGCAGAGGTTGTAGTCCATGTTGAACGCTATTGCGCCTGAGAGGGCGGGCGAGGGGCGGTCTGTTGCCACGACGGTGGATGCTTTGGCTAGGGCGCAGATTAGGGAGGGGAGAGCGGCGTCTACATTGTATCAAGTGTGAGCCTGACGATCAAGGATTCTGGAGGGATTTGTATACTAGTACGAAAGATAGTAGTAACTCATCAGCGCCCAGCTCAAGCACACTCTCACCCTTGACACTCTACGTCTCGTGAATCCTCTTTCCACGCATTCGTCTTAGGACTCATCTGAGTACTGGAATCGGCATCTTCCACACCTCGGCGACAACCATCGTCGCGCTGCAAAGCAGATGGGCGAATAACTTCCGCCCCACCTCCAACTTATTCAGCCCATCTGTCTTCTCCAACCCGGCTGCAGTCTCCTCGGTGCGCTTCTCGGCCTGGCCTGGGTAGGTTGGGACCATGATTTCGAGATCTCCATAGCGCGGGGACGAGTAGAGGTGCTGGGCGGTGCCGCCGTGGAAAAAGGGCGCGTCATCTGGAGGGAGATGTGGAAGGAAAGCGCCTTGCCTTCCAAGGCACGGTGGGTGGGAGTGTCGGCACACGTCCGCAGGGACGATCATCATTTTAGATCATCTCAATCGAAGCTGCACTTCATCCATTCTCATTCTCAGGTCACTTGTTTCTCTATAGAGCAGTGTCAAAGGAAAAGCGAGAAGAGTGACAGCCGGGAAAAGCTCAACCGAGTTGGCGACAATGATTCTGCACCCCGCAGGGAACCTGGTCTAGCGCCGAGTCCATCCCCTGTTCAGGGCTTCGTGCCACGACTCGATGGGTTCTAGCCAAACCATACGGCTTGCAGCTTAAACTGTGACAGATTCCCAGACCGCGTATCGAAGCAAAGACCCCAGATCAGTAGTACCATCACGAGCTAAGACTGAACCAGTCTTAAGTTCCTTTAAACGGTCAAGAGTTTTATCAATGACCTCGCCCATCCCACTCGCGTGGAAAAATTTCGCAAGTCGATAGTGACAGTTTAACAAGACCGGGTGTGGAAGACGGGACTCTGACTCAGGCTGGGATGCATCTACGAAAGTGACCTGGTGGGGGAGGAATGGGTTCATTTCGGTGGGGAAGCGCTTGAAGGTGACGAAGTTGTACGTATGCGGAGCGTTGGCCTAAGTCGATAATTAGTCCTAAACGAACCCTTCCACTTTCCAGGGCTAGAACACAGACGCACGATCGGCTCGAAGGCACATCGGAAGCGACCGAATGCGCGGTGGATAGAATGGTGAAGCGTGAGGCCATTCTCGATCTCATTGATTCTGGAATTTCGCATGATTGTGCGTATCTCAGGGAAACATCGGTAGAGGGTTTCCCACATATTCGAGATGGTGCTTGCACCTTTCTGCTCTAATTAGTATGTAGTCTTCAACAAGAAGGCTCTAGGAAAAGTACCATGGGGTCGTAGCTTGCAAACCAAACAAACGACCAGGGAATGATATGCGCAGCTTCGAGATCCCCCTGTAGAACATCCTCCGCCGACCCTGTTTCTTCCGCCTTGTCGAACGATATGGCTTTTGTCACCACACAACGATCTCTATCACGTTCGAGACAGCCTTTGCGGAAATCCGAATCTCGCACTTGCGGCTCCTCAATCACCTCATACACGGCTTGAGCATTCTCACGTCTTTTTTGATGCGGTGAGTCAACAGGGGCAGGTGTTTTTCCGCCAGACGCTTTAACTATGCGAGGTCAGTCACATATTCACGCCAAGTTTGCATGGACTTACTCGGTTGGAGGAGACAAGTGCGAATATTCTCATAGGTAGCCAGGAGCATCTCGTCAGATTCCGCATCGAGAATATCGTGCGCGATAGAGTCTCTTCCTCCTGGCGGAAGCCAGTCAAGCAGCCCCCCAAAGCAGTCTTGCAGCTTTTCGGATTCCTTTGTGACCTCGTATCGACTGAGTCGTTCATGCGTGCGAGCTTTAAGATCATTCCAGCCATCTTCGGTCTTCTCGACCTCAGTCTGAGCGAAGCTAGGCTCTGAACAAAATGTCCCTTGGGACGGAGAGATTCGACGCGGTTGGCGGGGGCGGGTTGAGGAGCGGGGCGGTGGGGGTGGACATGATTCGTGCTTGCGCTTAGGCATTGTTAGGGGTTGCAGAGGACAAGGATGTAGTGTCAAGAGGTGTTCGAGGGATAGCAACACTGCAGTTAAGCCTTAAAGACTATTAAATGCGTTCGTGAAAAGAAGTCTTCTGCATTGGGCCGTTAGGGGCAAGAGCTGTCCCATTGGTCTCAGGAGGGCAAAGCGGTAAAAAATAAACTTTGGAAAATAATATTTAAAATAAGAAAGCTTGGCAGTATGACATAAATAGCAAGCGGTGTACCCATATACTTAGAAGACGGGAGCAATGAGCAGCTTGGAGTCTGATTGCTTCTTTGTTTTCCCCCCACATTCTCTGAGCCTTCTCTAACTAGTCCTCTTGTATTAATTTAATAAGCGAAACTCAACCCGTCATAGACAGAATTTATGGCACTTTGATCCTCCGTACGCAAAACGGTGGTTCACCCCTGATCTCAAATCTCAGCAAAAGGAGGTAAACTATACGCGACGCAAATGGCAAGAGAGCTGCGCAGAGATAAGGCGACTATTAGGCAACTAGATCACAGTAATCTTTCTAACGCGGGTTGAGCAGGAGAATTGTTCACCCGAGCCGGCATTGTCCCATTCCCTATTTTCCAAGCGGTATACAGAATATACGCCCGCCGGTAGACGATCGGTAGAAGGGCGCATAAAGCAATACAAGGGTATAATAAATATTATGACAACGCCAATCACACTCCATGTTCTATGAATACTTTTACCGGGATAAGTTTATAATGATACACATGCTTGATTAATGCTTCTGATTTCTTCATTCTCGGGGATATACAAAGTAACGTTACTAGTTGACAGACCGAAATCTGTCGGGGCCAATGCCCACGACGATGATACTACCAACCTCCTTCCATCCAGCAGAAAGACTAAAATACTTTTTTTTTTCTTTCTTCCTTCAATAGCCATCGTGAACTTCCTCACGTGCCAACCCATATCAGATGGTTCTGTTTGTTTCCCCAACTCCCGATTAAAGCAAAAAGCAAAGGGTATCCGCAGGTCCATATTCCCTTCCCTATTACCTTATAACGAGGCACTCCTATCTTTATAAGTTAGTTTTAATGCCCTAATGAAAATGTACTTTGGTCTTACCTGCTCTAACCATCATTCTACCTTGCCGGCCGCGTAATCCGAGCTCGAATTTGTTCCTTAAACTCTTCATCTTGCTGCTCCCCATCCCGCTCGAAGAGTTCCCCAAGCCGGCCCAGTTGACCGGTACTGACTTTATCATACTTGATATGTATGCTCGTCCTAAGGTGCAGTACCTTAACACCACGAATGCGATTGTATACTAACCGCAGAGCAATCATAAAAATCTTCGGATTGTCCAGGTCTTCTATTTGCCATTCCTTATCATAGGGTAAGCTTAGAAGAGCCATCTGGTAATAGACTTGGTCGCTGGGCTGCGTTCTTTCTGCGAATTTCTCCTAGGTCTTCGCATTGTGCCATCGCTCGATGTCTCGCGCTCGTTCGATCTCTTCGCGTTGTGCAAAAGTAAGCTTATCTGTATCGTCAAGGTCAAGAGACTCTTTATCTTTACTGGCATCATTTTTAATATGGTCATCCTCATTCGGCTGTTCTGCGTCAATATATTCATTGTCCGAGGCATTCACTTCATCGTCCGAGGCATTGTATTTAGCGTCCGAGGCATTCTCTTCATCGTCGGGGGCACTGTGTTCAGTATCATCATCGCTAACAATAGCGTAGTTGAAGACTGGTCTTTTGCGAGTGTTAGCCTCCTTCTGGGCTAATCGTTCGTCCGAGCGTTCCGATTGCCTGTCCTTAAGGTACTGAGCAAGACTTTGATCCATCTGTAGTTCAGCGGCGGATTTTTGCTGCAAGAGTACTTTCCCATCCTGGCTCTCATGACATCGGTTGACATCTGACTGGATCCATTTGAGTTCTTTGAGCATCAATGATCGAAATCCAGGGTCCTGCCTATTGATGGCGAGTTGGAGACAGGCCTTTTCGGCTTGCTTTGAGTCCCTAAACTGGTCGTGTGAGTTTGCGGTAGCCACTCGCACCACAGTTAACGGGAACTCAGACGTTATCTATAGAGTCAGTAAACGCAGAACCTCAATTTGGAGTTAGGGGTAGAGGTGTATGACTAAGGATAAAAGTGATTTTCAACATACACGGAGAGCACGCCCGGCTGCCTGGGCCTCTTGGGCCCAGCTACGACCGGGGGATGTCAGGATGACCCTATTACAGGCGTGGTGAAGATTCAGGCCCACTGAGCCCATGTCATACGTTGTGATAAGCACTCGTAATGTGCTTTGGGGGTCGTTGAATTCGTTCACCATGGTATCACGCTCGCTCGGCTCAAGAGCCGAATGCAACGTTCGAGCGTCAACCAGAGCAGCACGCAGAACCACCTCCGCATACCATGCATTAAGTGGACAAGAGTCGACGATCAAGACTTTTTGATGGTGACCAAACCTGCTTTTGTCCACCTCTTCGAATACCTTTCGGTCCAGGAGCTGTTGGAAGATCAGTCTTAGCCGTGGCGAGCCATGAACTAAGAACTTAATCAAGTCATCCGCGGAGTGAATGGCGCAGTCGGTATCTTCCTTCGTCACCATATAAACCCATTCGGCAGCAATATTTTCCTGTCGCCATTCGTGCAAGGTGGCCACATGCGTGTTCGAGTCGCCGAGTTCCAATTTCGCGTTCAGGATGGCAAGAGTAGTTGAGAAGTTCGCAATTGCAAGCTTGCGCAGTGACTTTGTGGCGGCTATGAATTTGGATTTGACCCGCTGTCCAGGATTGGCGGTCCTTTCTATTGCGGTTTCAACAATGTACTCCCTAAATGATAATTGTTAGCATACATATCCAAGATATAGGGGGGTTGTGAGTCGAACTTACTCCGCAGCTTTAGCGTGGAAAGCCTGATACACCATTTTCTCTTCTGTAGACAGCTCCACATCTGCGGTTCTGAAGGTGATGGTTTTGAACATGTCTTTCATGGCAATAGAAGGGCCTGAAGAATTTGGCAAACATGACCCTGGCGATCTTTGGATTGCAATTAGGTTCAAAACAAACCCAAAGTAATCGGCCTCCATCGGGAGGGTCTCACGGTGGCGTATCAGATCATTCAGGACTGTAGCATCAAGCAGCATCAAGCGGAGTGGGGAAGTTTTGTGGATTTCCTTCAACTCCCGCTTTTTATTTTTTGAAGATTTTGCACGTAGTTGATCATACTCTGCTTTGACGGTAGGGTCTTGGCAAGCTTGCGACAAGCACTGCAAACCGCGAACGCCTATCAAGTCAATAAGTCCTATTAGATCCTATAAATTGGTTAGAAGGGCCCCCCCACAATTGTGCTTTTGTATAGAATGGATACTTACCCGAATTGAGTTGAACATAGGGGTTGCGGTTGCAAAGATAAGGGCTCTAGGCTTTTGCATCTTGAGAATAGATGCAATTGCTGTTTGCTTGTTTTTGACGCGATGGGCCTCGTCAGCAATAACCAGGCCGAAACGATTGTCATGACGCGTAGTCCAATAATCCCCGTCCTTTTTCGTAATCACCCAAGATGTTCGTCTGATATGCGTTTCATATGAGGTGATAATCAGGATTTTTCGCGCGTCTGGGTTGGTCTTGTCAAGAATGTACCTCAGGTTCTGAGGGAAACTCAAATTCCACATTTGATGGACGGTCAGTCTGCTCCCAAGCATCTGTTCTTTCAGGACAGGATCTTCGTATGAGAGAATTGGCACAAGGCCATCCCAATCACGCCTGACTTCCTGTAGCCACTGACTGACAAGAGGGGCAGGGACAAGTAGTAACATTGGCATATTCTCAGTGCCCAGAATTGAAAATATCAACGCTGCCAACAGACATTGCTTGGTCTTTCCAAAGCCTGTTCCATCAGCAAGAATGGCCCCGTGTGTCTGTAAATCTTCGAGCTTTGTTGCGGCATGTTCTGCAAGGTCGAGTTGCTCGAGTGTCCATCCCACATCGGGGCATCTCTCAAATAACTTTGCAGCGTCAATTTTGCCCAGGAGCTTGAGGACAATCCCGATGGCTCCGGTTATCTGGTAGTTGTAAAAAGTACTCTTGGTATGGTTGCTCAAAATTAGGGAGCGGTATCGTCCCTCATTTCTATGCAACTCACACACAAGAAGGGAAAGACACAGGTCTAGCGGTGGCCCACAGCGATCTTGATTTCCTGAGAAGGCGCGCTGCAGGACGGAGTAGTCATTGTCCTGATTGAAGTAAGAATGTTAGCCCACCCAAAAAGTACATTTGGTCCACGTATCTTACCGAGTAAATGACTTGGTCCTCACTGTCCCTGTGTGCCTGCTGCTGAGCTTGTTCCACACTGGCCATTTCTTCTTTTGTGGCCAGCAGGGTTTTTGGCATGTTTACTAGCTTCGGCTTGCCGGCCTTAAGGCCAGCAAGTAAATTCGAAACAAGCTGCTTTTGCCACTCCCGGCGCCCGGACACCGTGTTAACATCGTGTCCGTTGTACCAGAGGATTTGGTCTGCTAAAGAATCACACTCCTTAGGTTGAAGTGTGGTATCCTTTTGGGATGAGCTCAGGATCCTGGAGACAACAGTTTCATCCAGCTGCCGTGGACCCTGTGATCCAGCTTCCGCTTCTGCCATCAAGGCTTCTTCAATGACTCTCGGCATTATACCCTCCTCATACATTTCCTCATCGTCGGGCTCGTTTGCACTGAGGATAATGTCCAATCTGAAGTCGGAAATCAAAGGGTCCATCATCGTGGACCTGATCAAATCCCATTCATCCCTCAAAATATCGCGGGACAAATCCTCGTCATCAATGGGAGATGTGTGTCTCATTTTCACTGAGTATAAATCGAGTCCGAGTTGACGGCAATTGTAAATAGCCCGAAGGTAATCGCGGAACATTGCCACAGTAGTGAATGCACGCGTCTCCTTGTTCACCTTCAGTACTTCGGAGGGGATGGTTAACCCCTTCTCCTCGGCCTGTGTGAGAGTTAACTCGAGGTCCTCTCGTCCTGGGAAGCGTTTGTTGCGGTGCCAATGTGCGGTGATTTTGATTGGGTGGTAATTTTCGTGTGTCTTGTGAGGGCCGAGGGCTGATTTCACAACTTCTTTTGGGGCTCTCATCCATGGTGGCAGATTTTCGTCCTGTACGACGGCGGCCTTCTTCATTGCTTCCACGCTCTCCACACGACTCCATACGTTTGCCGTGTGAAAGAGCCAGGAGAAGTAGCGAAACAGCTCCCAGGAGCGGTTGAGAAGCTCAAGTCTTGTCTCCCCAAATTCTGGGTGATAAGTGATGGATACACGGGGGACCGGGGTTTGAGCATCTGCGCTGGGAAATTTGAAATCTGGGTTCTCCTTTGTGAACTTATCCTGGGAGCACTTGGTCTCCTGGATGTTCTTAGCGTCCGACCACACAGCGTATTTCGATTCAGTGACATGCGCTAGGCGAATGCACACCCAAGCCACACGCTTCTGCTTTTGGGCTTTCGTGAAGTCCGGGCTAGCGTTTTCGGGGACGGCGAAGTTCTCTGATACACCGGTACTGATGCTGGACAAATTGTCCCACTGCTCGTCAGCAAGTCGAAAAACACCCTTCTTCTGCATTTTCTTGGCATCCTTGTCAAATATGTGCCAGAGACTCAGGATTGGCCAGGAGATTATGAATCTCCGAAGCTCCTCAACCTTTTGGAAACCGAGGTATCCGGCGAGAAGCGTCTCTCTGCCTTCTGTTTTGACCCATCCTTGGCGGTTATGTCGCACTGGGAGAGCCTCCTCTAGAGCGTTGTTGGTTTTGGTGCGGGTCTTCTTCGATGGTGCCTGCATATTGTTAGAGATCCAACCGCGATAGTACTTTTGAGATCTAACCTCCTTTGGGGCGGCGGCTGCGCTGCCCTTGGGCTGAGCCTGAGCCGGGGTCTTCTTCGACGGTGTTTGTTTTGGGGCGGCTGCACTACCCTTGGGCTGAGCCTGAGCCAGGGTTTTCTTCGACGGTGTTTGTTTTGGGGCGGCTGCACTACCCTTGGGTTGAGCCTGAGCCGGGGTCTTCTTCGACGGTGCCTATATATTGTTAGAGATCCAACCGCGATAGTACTTTTGAGATCTAACCTCCTTTGGGGCGGCAGCTGCGCTGCCCTTGGGCTGAGCCTTTGTGAGAATCCTCTTTTTAGATTCTTCCTGCTCATGGTTAGATTGGGACCATCTATAATTGTACTTTTGAGACCTGACCTTTTGGATGGGGGTTGCGGCACGCTTCTGTAATAGGGATCATATCAGCAACTATTCAACATTCCTCTGGGAAGAAAAGTACTTTTCTAGTTGAGTGTTCTATGATAGCCGTCCTTGAAAAGCCAGGCAGCTTGATCTGGGTGAAAAACCCCGAGCCCGAGATGTGTCGTTCGAAATTGAAGCATGCAATAAATGGCGATAAGTGAAAGAGGGTGGACAGCGGGAGTAGGACGAGGATGAAAATGAACCTATGATATAGGTCGGCTTTAAGAGTCAGCACTCAGATCTGAGCGATGGTATGACCAGGGTGTAGTACAAATTTGTATAGGAGATTGGGCAAAGTGCAGTTGAAAGAGAAGGACAATGTGAAGTATCGAAGAGTATAGATAGAGGAAGTAGGAATAAACCTATGCTCTAGCTAGGCTTTGAGAGTCAGCACTTAGATCTGAGCGATAGTATGACCAGGGTATAGTACAAATTTATATGGGAGATTGGGCAAAGTGCAGTTGAAAGAAGAGTGGAGTGTAATCTCAGAAGATGAATTTGAAACATAATATACCTATCGACTATACACTGGTTGTTAAAGATTCAGCGATCAACCCTGATAGGTGAAGTTCTGAAGTCATAGGGTTGAGATGGTTAAGTGGAGGGAAAAAGTGCCGTAAGAGATGGGCCAATCTGATGCTGCAGTTTAAAGAGTCAGTGATCAATCTTGAGAGGTGAAGTGCCAAACTCATATGGTCGAACTGATTGAGGGAAGGGCAAAAGCGCCTTGGTAGAAAGGCCTATTTAATGCCAGACTCGTAAGGGCAGTACTTCTCTTCAACGCAACACCCGTAATTCGGAAAATCAGATTTAGGATAGGAGTGGCGCATAGAGGATGCACGAGTGCGAGACGACCTAGTCTGTCTCACGCGCAGAAAATTGCGTGGCTGGGACCATTTACCCAAAAGAAGGATTTATGGAGAGTTCCATACCCACGGCATCCCCGCCTGCTTCGCGGAAGATACTTTTGCGGAGGCCTCTTTCTCCTAGCCATTAGAGCCACTCTTCCAGCCGCGGAGGTCGTGATACATTGCATCTGGTAGCCTAGAGAAGCGATGTAATATTCGTTTAACACACTGACGTCAATAGAGAGCAAGAGCCTAACCTTTTCTGCTCTAGTATGGTCTTGAGGGAGGAGTCCTCTGAAAAGGAACCACGATACCACTATCTGTAAGACAAAAACAATATTGAATAATACAGTTCTTTCGCGGTGAACAAGCGTGATTCCTTAACAGAGTAATGTAAGTGGCCTGCCGAGGTTGTAAATGACTATATATATCATATGATAATGCAGTACTATGAATGCAGCTTGAATATGGTATATATATTATTCCCTAACAGGCATAGGTTAAGAGCGGCGAGAGAACGGTCGACCTCGTATTCCGAACAACCGCCGCCATACTTGGAGGAATGCGCTCTGGCATTTTTATCTTCTCAGATGCATCAATCTGGAGGTCCTCAATTACCGTCAGTTGACTCGCTTCGGTGTACACTGTGCTACGGCTGGGGCCGCTCTGCCTCGTATCACAGAAACCACGGGAGTGATCCGACCAGATTTCCCGCGGTAGGCATATGTTCCCGCCGACGCACGTCATGTAAAACCCGTCAAGGGATCATGGATATGATGGTCATTCAGAAATTACCAGCACAATCGCTTACGGCAGTAAAGGAACGCCCGCTAAATAAACCCTCTGATAGGCTTTGATGTATATTACGTGACGAGAAAACTTTGAGATTGCCCCAGGGGGTTAAATTTCTTGCATAAAACGATCCTAATGTTAAAACTAAAGGGCAAAAAAAAAAAAAACAGGATTAACTAAGTAGGACGAAGGGACAACAAAGTAAAGAGAAAGAAATCCCAAGCCATTAATCCCCTACCTGCCAGAGCCAGGGTTAGAAGGAGGTGCGCGGAGCCCTAAGTCAGATAGGTGATCACAAGTCGGCTCTACGAACTCCACCAGCTCAAGCTGCTTTGCAAGAGAATCTATAGCATCCGCTTGCATCTCGTTCAAGTCCTCGTTGCAATACTGTCGAAGATTGCGGCTAATTGAGCCCATCTTACGAGCAACCTCTGCGGTATGATCCAAGGCTTTGAGAACCTTGGACCAGTGCTTTTGGTCCTTTTCGTTGAAGAAGGGCTTTACCTGACGGTTGTCCACGGCATCCAAGGTCGTAGGGTCTTGTTCAGCTCGCCAGAGGCTGCAACGCCTATACTAGCCATTCCATCGGCAGTTTGCACAGGCCTTGGTATCACCTGTGCCCTCGGCCAACCGAACGTCGACTATTCACAATTCCGAAAGTCAGCATATCTTGATGAAAATGACGCTGAAACGACAACGGGAAGAATGAATGGCTACCATACCTAGGGGCCTTCGAACTTTAGGCAGTTTGTGCATTGGTGGTCCTGGACGACCCCCAAGCATTGGATAACTGCCGACTCGATGTTGGAAATCCCGTCAGAGATTCGTTCCTCCTCCCGCTTGCCGGAAAAGAAGAAACCGGGCGGGGCCATAAGCTCTCTCACCGGCTGCTTCTTCAACAGCTTGGGGAGAAGTTTGCCCTTCAGGAACACAACCTTTGCTGCGGTCTTCCAGAGCGTTTCCCACATCATTTTGGCCCATTTGTCTAGTGGTCGATCGTCGTCGCCAACGACTCCCTGCTGGATGGTGGTAACATCGCCAATCTCGGTAGATGAGGGCACTGTGGGTCGGCTTACCATCATGTCAGTGTCCATGCCCATTCCTTGAAAGTATGAAAAACCTACTAGTATAGTGGATTCCGAGCCATGGCAGGCTCATCATCATTTTGAGTTGGTAAGGGTGTTTGGAATTCCACGGTTGGTGGACGGATGGTGAGTGGATGGATGAACGAAGGATTGATGAATGAAGGACGGATGAAGGAGGATTGGAGATAGGGGCGGAGGGTGGAATATAAAGAGAAGAAGGGAGAAGGAAGAGGGAAGGAAGGATGGAAGATGGCAAACAAAAAGGCTCAGAGTACAAAATGACTCTATGTCACATGCGAGGCTTTTGGGATATCTGTTTTCCCTTTCTAGCGACTCTTCTTCAACATCATAATCCATCACATTCATGCCTCATCGCAATCAGTATGGCATCCCTGTCACTTTTCAGACAAAGAGCTAACCATGAGGCATTCAGTCATGGCATTCGACGCTTCTACTGCCCCTCGACCCCTTCTGGGCAAAGATGGAGCAGAGCCTGGCTTCTGGGCTCATGCTGCATACGAGAACCCCTGGCCCCGAGGAAGCCGAAACAGCCATATGAGTGGCTCAGTACTTTATCAACTTCACCAAAACCGTTTGTATCGCGAGCCGGCTTTACGGCCATCAAAAGCCAAGTATGATGGAACACGCTTTTTAAAGGCAGTGGGGGACAAGACTGTGAATGTGGAGGCTCTGCTGGCACAGGCTACCGGTCCCCAGCTGAAACCTGGGGCAGAATGTCTGCCTTGCCAGAAACACAGAGGCCCTTTCGTCTCCTGTGTCGTTGTCCCGGGTATTTTCAGCGAATGTGCCAACTGCCATTGGTCACAGCAGTCCGATCGATGCAGCTTCAACACCAGCCCTCCCATGTCATTTGTCCCTCGACGGAAGGCTGAGCCCACAGTCATCCCCACTGGCTTTACAGATACGGATGGGGTGAGAACAAAATTGACGGGGAGCTTCGAGAGGCACGTCTTGCGCGAGGTAAGGCCATGGCACTTTGTTGAACGTCTCAACAGGCGGATTGATGAGATTCTGGAAGCAAAGGCCGCCCAGGCATCACGGCCTGCAGGTGGAGAGGACCAAGGGCCTGGAGGTCTTGGAAACTAGCATGTGAAATAGTGCTTGTATGAACTACATTTCTGACACAGGCTCGCCATCCAGTACACATACGTGCTATTTTCTCTAAAGTTCGGTATCTAGGCCACGCTCTCCAGGAGGAATGGATTGGCAGACAATCAGAGTAAGCATAACAGTATCAAAACGCAGAAGAATGATAACACCCTGATGCGGTCCCATTACTCCGATTCCCGACACTCTAAGAGGCAGAGCTACTGTATCGGGAACGTTTGACGGCCCTCCGACGAGTGCTCGCCTTGCTTGTGCGTCCAGTGGTCATTGGTGACTGCGTAGACGCCGAGTGGATAATTTGGAGGAGGATGCGAACGATCTCCTCGTCCTGGCTGTCTTCCAGACCCCAGTGGAAGGTCCTCACGAACCACTTTCGAATGTCAGACCAATGAAACAACGGTTAACGTGAAGGTCACTTTCTTCTTACCTTGCTGTTCTTACTGATCTTGTAAAAGTGGAACTGTCTGCTGTCGGTCACAATTCCGTATACAGTGGTGTCTTTTTTCCGCGCTCCTTTCGTCCGGAGTGCACGACACCTAGAAGCTGGTCAGCAATGCCTTTGGCGTGGTGCAAGAGACTTACCCATATAGGCAAGGACTTGTTTCTGCCCTTTGCCAATTTCGTCCGAGGTCTTCGTCTCTACAATCACCAGGTTGGTCTCCAGATCCTCATGCTCCCCATACCATAGCGTATAGTCGGGGCGGCCATTCAGCCTGTGCTTGAGCTTCATTCGGCCGAGTCGGGTAATATGCGAGAATGAGGCCTCGTAGCTCCATCTCACCGGATGTGCCGCCGCAATACCGACTTCTATGGCGAAGCCAAGAACAGCGCTGAACAAAGGGCTAAGCCAAGCGCGTACCCATGCCTCGGTCTCTCGGGACCCAGCTTGTCAATTGTGCTGGTAGCGCATTGCTCGCGCTATGAGAACAAATTAGTACAGGGCTAATGTTAGGAGGACAGGGAACTCACAGAGGTAGCGCATAAATTCAGGAAATACGTCCTGGTTGTTTAGAGCTGCGGTATCGAACGGGAGTATGTCCCAGGAATCTCCCGCCTTTAGGTTCTTCTGGGTCACCTGGGTGAGCTTAAAAATTGACTCAACCTCTTGCAAGGTCAAGTCACCCATGGCCTTCGTTGGGAGGTTATTGTCCCTCCTAGCTCTCGTCGTGATGTCGTTAAGTTCGGTCTTCATCTCGTCAACCTCGGACCTCCCAAGGTTTGTAGCCCTTGAAAGCCATCGAATGGCCGCTTCTGCGCCATTCTTGACCTGTATCCAAGCGAGGTCGTCGGAAGTTGCTTTCTTCTTCGGCACCACCTTCGTTTTCCTAAGGGAGAACTTGAGAAGCATTATGAAAAGATTACGGGTGTTAATGAGGATGTTTGTGAGGTACTCTTGTGTAGGGTAGGGGGAAAGAGGACAGAAATGGTGGGAAACAGTGGTGAACAGTGGTATAGTTTGTGTTGGCCTGAGGCATCACATAAAACTTTCCCGTTGCGTCATTCCGCGCCGAATCTCGTTTGACAACATATCTGTGGACGACGCAGAACAATGAAATATGCAATTCTTACGCAGAATGCACTCAAACGGGCTTCAATAGATTATTACTTATGCGGCCAGACTGTATGTCACTCTACCAACAGGTGGTATCACGTGTCTCCTTGCAGACCCAGACCAAGTCTCGAACCGCGACTAGAGGACCTAGGGAAAGTAATTGTCGACGAGTACTCAATCGTCCGTGATAAATATAGTCCGTTATTTTTGGTTCGAATAGTGTGAATAATTGCTGACTCGTCATCAGCTGCACCAAAATACCCTGTCGTTCTCGCCCATGGCTTGCTCGGGTTTGATGAACTGCACCTTGCTGGCCCATATCTCCCCGGTGTTCAGTACTGGCGTGGAATCAAAGAGGCCTTGACGGCGCGGGGTATCGAAGTTATCACGGCGTCAGTGCCCCCGTCAGGCTCTATTGAGGAACGGGGTGAACAATTGGCCCGAAGCATTGAGGCTGGGGCTCCAGGGAAGGATGTTAATATCATTGCGTATGTTCCCTCCATTTCCTGGTTAGAGATATCGACATATTCTGACCCTAGTTTTTGTACAGACATAGCATGGTGAGACCCCTCAATCATTGCGACAGAGTTAATGCTTATCTGTGATTAGGGGTGAGCAATAAGATCATACTATACAGCACAAGCTAATTAATGGGCTGCAAAGTGGTCTTGATGCACGATATATGATTACTCACGTACGACCGGAGAAGTTCAAAGTCTTGTCACTGACCACTATCGCGTCTCCGCATCGAGGTGTGGCGCATCATAGCTTCTCATTTGCCTTTCTGCTAACTGTCTAGCAGGCTCATCTGTGGCGGACTACGTATTTGATCAAATTGGAGGTTCGTGACTATTCACCCGCTTTCTGAGATAACTCTGAAGATAACATCTAATTCTGTGTAGCCGATCGCCTACCCCAAATCTATTATGCCCTTAATCGATTAAATGTCGAGACAGGTGCATTCGCTCAGCTAACAAGAAAATACATGACCGGGACTTTCAATCCTAATACCCCAGATATGGATGATGTCAGGTAAGTGCCATGCATTTCCCCCCCCTATACGCACTGCTGACATTCCCCAGATATTTCTCCTATGGAGCAGCAATGGAGCCAAGTATATGGTCCCCCTTTCGGCTTTCACACCGAGTACTTGCGGATATTGAGGGACCCAATGATGGCCTAGTTAGCGTGTCTAGTAGCCGCTGGGGAGGCGATGCAGGATACAAAGGAACCCTTATGGGCGTGAGCCATCTGGACCTGATCAACTGGACCAACCGGCTTAAGTGGCTAGTCGGGGAAGTAACGGGCAACAAACGAAAGTTAGTTGATTACAATTACAAGAAGTATTTTGGGAATTATGCTGATCTTTATGCAGGTTCAACGCCATTGCATTTTACTTGGACATCGCAGGTATGTGTTACGGTTTGATTGGGTTAACTGAGACTGATAAGCTGATTGTTAATTAGACATGTTGGCAAAAGAGGGACTTTGAGAAAGTGCCCGATATAATTCATGTGGGTTCCCCCTTAGCGGTGTTATGGCTGTTTCGGATTTGATATGGAAATTCTGGTGCCTGGAGACTCCTGGAGACTCCTGGAAGTCCCTGGTATGTTCTCATTCTCGCCTACTTTGTATGTATGGACATATTTTTGTACAGTGGAATCAGCATAATAGATCCGTCAATTAGCAACAGACAGTTAAAATAATATATTTACTCAAGGATGCAGGCAAAGAAGGGTCATACTATGTACTACAGATCCAACGGATTTATAGTTTCCGGGTACTAGCGGAATGAGCCCTTTGTCTCGAAAAATGTGGCTGTGATTGAGGCGCAGCATATATGCCTAATCCAACCTTCTAGCCTTTAGCTATTCCTGCAACAGTTCTTGGTCAGGGCGAGACCGCGGCAGTTGTCTGTTGCTTGGCAATCAGTTGATCTGCGAACGCTCAAAACGTCATTGCGGGAACCTTCGCATATAATCCGCACTCGCCCCCATCTCGCAGCCCCACGACATTTCTTCAAGCTGTTCATTATTTGCATATTTCGAGAGTTGATAATTGTCGCATTATTTTCCACGACCGCACCCCCCATTTGATCCTTCGAACGCCGCCACCAACCGAAGATAGAGCCCCGCCAGGGCCCACGCGCCCGCCGCCATGACCGCAAATATCGTATTGGACAGCCACCACACGCATTATACAAATTTGGACTTCCTCAGAGGCAAGGTTGTACTACAGCTACCGACCGAAGCAGCCATCGGAGCCATTCACGTCAAATTGGAGTGCGAGAGCCGCACTCGTCTATCCGGTCCCAAGCACCCCCAACATGTGCACTCAGACAAAAAGCGAACGGAGCTTGAGGTTCACAAGGTGAGAGGATATGGTTTATCACACCTATCAGCGGGATAAAATATTGACTGGAGCATTGGTTAATCAACGAATGTAGATCCTGTACAAGGTTGCCACTGTTTTCCCGACACCAGGTGTCATGCAGAATGGGTCCCCTGCGCCTGCATATACATTTGCTGCAGGGTCATATGAGTACCCTTTCGAATTCAAAGTAAAGAGTCTATTCTATGGCAATCAGAACACAGTTAACGCCCTACCAGTTCCCTTTCAATAATTCATGCAGCACGACCAACAGCATGCTCACCAATCTAAACTTTTCCGGGTTGAAAGTCGAGGTAGCTAAAGACACCAATCGACACGTCAGGAAGACTCTCCCGCCATCTTTAAGCGGGTTCCCAGGTGTAGCAGATATCAAATACTTCGTCAAGGCCACAGTCATTCGGCCGCAGTTCTACAAAGAGAACATCAGATCGGTAAGTAGTGATATGCTCCGATACCTATGCTATTGTCGCACTCGCTAATTGGTTTCGCAGATTGTGCCTCTGAATTTCCTTCCAATTGAGCCACCAAGAGTCGGGAATCCCAATGAGGAAACCTACGCCAGGCGGCAACATCAATTCTCCAAAACCCAGGGCGCGTCTAAGAAAAAGAGCATATTCTCACGGGGATCTTCTTCACTCCGAGAGACGTATCCAGAGCCTCCTCGGGTGTCTGTGGATGCTCGACTTCCGAACCCGTCTATTCTCACTTGCAACGAACCTGTCCCCCTCCGTCTCCTCGTTAAGAAGCTGACCAAGGGACCGGACGTAATCTTTCTTCAAATGTTGCAGGTGGAACTAATATCCTACACGAAAATTTTGGCCCAAGACCTCACTCGCACTGAAAGCAGCTCGTGGGTTATCATGAGCCGCAGCAATATGACTATCCCGTTAGGCAACCCGGACTCCGTAGGCACTGATTGGACTATTGATTCAAACTTATGGAATCGGTATCCCTTACCTAACTCGGTGGCACCGTCCTTTGAGACATGTAACATTGAAAGATCTTATGAGCTGGAAATTCGAGTGGGCTTGACTCATGGAATGCAGGTATGTTGAACCATTAACCACTAGAGTTGTCTCTTGGCTGACCATGGCATAGCCTCAACTGATTGTTCTGCCCCTGCGAATGCCAGTCAAAGTATTCTCAGGAATCGCTCCACCACAGGCCCTCCTAGATGCGATGGCCGCTGCATCGCTTCATCCATCTTCCTCTAGACTGAAACCCCAGCCCAGCTTGCCAGGAGAGGTAGGAAGCAGTCGACCAGTCATTCCACCACGACCAACCGGTGAACCTGTACCTGTCAATTCCGGAGATGCATACGACGACGCACCACCCAGTTACGAGGATGCCATGGGAGACCACCTGAGTCCAGTGGATGGACCACGTCGCGAGTATCACCCACCAGACGCCTCATCACAAAGCACAGTAGAATCTGGAGCTGATGCCAAGTCCATAGCCCAACCGGGTAAGGCGCTTGAGGATGGACCCGCTGCGGAAGGATCCTCGGCGCCTCGTCGAGGCAATCGTGCTTCCTCGGAGTCCTTCGACATGCTACCTACCACACCACCGGAATCTCAATCTGGATCGCCTCCCATATCCCCCGTGCGACGCCCAGCGAGCATGATGAAAATTTCTCAGAACACCGTTGATGAAGAAAGTCCGCCGCAATATGAGCCTGTCGCGGGGAATCACCTGAACGCTCCCCAAGCTGTGCAACGCCAGCCTTCACGGAATAATCTTCGTCCTATGAACTTGGGCGTTCCCAATCGGAAGCCTGTGCCGCGAAGTCCAAATCCTTGAGGTTATGGACTCAACTGTTTCACTAATTTGGTCATATTCTCCCCTCTTTCACGCTTAGTGTCCGGGTTTGAAATTAATTGGAGCTTCATGGCACTTTGCCTGTGATTATTCCAGCACTCATAGCATTACCCATCAAAGAAACTGCATTATTGCTACCTTCGAACTCGATACCCCATCACGTTTGTGTCTTGAAAAGTTTTTCAGGTTATGTTCTTGTTCTTGAAATGCATCATAGCGTTGTGTCTAAGGGATCTATAATACTAGTACTAGTGTAGCGCCTGTTGAATATGATAGTTTATTTACTTCCACTTCCGAATAATGAGCCAAATACCGTCCGATATCATCGTGGCGCGCATCGTGGCGCGCAGGTCAGTATGGAAATAAGTTCAGATGTGCGCTATACCGAAAACGGCTAGCGCACCCTCCACGCGGATTGAGCTTTCCTCTTCCACTTGAGCATATGTCCAATCCTATGGGCATCTGTCCTCAAATTGAATCTTAATCGAAATCCGCTAGACCAGCTCGGACTAACTGGATTAGCCCCCCGACCGAAACATTACCCTCGAGTATTCGACTCGGAACCTCCTAGCAACACGAAAAAGTACATTCACCGCGTCAATGATTTAGCTCGCGACTGACCATCCACGATGCGTCTCCACCTTGTTATCTCGCGCCATGGCCTGCCGGTCACGCGCATTCTCTGGACGACGACTTCGTCTACTTCTGTGTTAGGCGAATATGGGACTCAACGCCCGGCATCAACCGCAGCTGTCGCGTCCTCTCGCACCCCGAACATCGCCTTCTCGAATGGCGGGTACACGGTCGCACAACTCCTCGAGGATGTGAACGAAGTTGTGCCGCTGGAAACTGAACCTAGTATCTTTGATACGGAGTTCAGTGGCCAGTGGGGATTGGAAGATTATGTTGTCGAGGTTGCCGGCTCGGAATGTCTCCATTTTATGGAGGTTGACGGCTTGCTCCGTGACGGAGACGAAGTTGTGTATGTACATCTAACAAATGTTCTTATATCGTAAACTGGACTAATTTCTCGCCTTCTAGCATCCGCGCCCTTCAATTGGCAGACCTACGGACCAGAAGGCTATGTGGTCGCCACCAAATTACCGCGGAGGGCAAGCATCTGATCGACGGCGTGCCTTTCGGGTCACCGTTCTTGAAAAGAACTACCTCTACACGACCTGCAATAACTATTCCCCCAAGAAAGAAGCGGCGCACCGTTTTCTCCGGCTGGGACCACGCTCCAGAATTGGTGGCTGAGGAAGTCCATGCTGACGAGGAAGGGGATGGAGAGTGGCTTCCGCATCCAAACACCGGGTTCGGAAAGGAGCTCTCTGTCATGCCCGCCGAGCACGAAGAGTCCCTAGGCACGGTTATTCGTCACCCTGTTGACCATGCCACGGAATCTGACAGTGAAGTGGATATGTCTGAGATGCCTGAGGTTGAGGAAGATGAACTGGAGAGCGAACTCCAAGCACTCAAAGAGGACTTCGACGAAGCTTCTCAATTTATTGATATCAGGAACCAGACTCGGAATGCCAGTGGGCACCCACTACGTGCTACCTCGATAGTCAAGCGACCAACTTCCAAGGGGTCACTTGCAGCTGCCTCATCTCTTTCCAGCAAGCGGTCTCGTGCGGAAGACCCATCTCCTAGAGCCTCCAAGGCTGTGAGATTCAACAAGGGAGATAAGCAGGAGGATAAGGAAATGCCTGATCTCCCACAACTTCCGCAGGCCGTACACGTACAGATCGAGGAAAGTGCTGCTGCAACCTCTGATTCTGGTTCATCCGAGTCATCCATGTCTTCTTCGGGCAGCGATTCTGACGATGATTCTGATGATGATTCCGATAATGATTCCGATGATGATTCTGATGATGTTGATTCTTCGAGCGAGGTCGAGCCTGCGGCAGAGGCACCTTCTGATTCTCATTCATCCTCAAGCTCCGATGATTCTGATTCATCAGACTCAGATTCCGAAGAGGAAGCCGCCCCTTCTATCCCGGTTTCTGTGGGCGCTCCTGGTGGAGGGTCACTACGCACTAAAAAAAACAACCAGCGCATCAAACTACGCCGCCGTCTATCCAAGCTCAAGGAGCTAGGTGCTCTTCCTGAAAAAGCAGGTTTCGATGCATTGCGAGCTTGGGAAGACAGCCACGGAGGCTGGCATACTCCGGAACAATATCTTAACCCGGAGCCATTCGTGCAACCCCCAAAACCTGTGGAACCGGAACTAGAACCAGAACCAGAACCTGCCGAATCTTCGAAAAAGAAGCAAAAAAGAGA